TGCTTACTGCAAGCTGTCAGTGAATGGGGCAGGAACTGGGCCATCAAAGTTGAGGCATTTCGTTCTTTCAAGGCCAGCTGGCATGAGAAAGTGCTGACAGTGAACCTCAAAGTGACTTCAGGCTTGTGGGTTTTACACGTGCCGTGTCAATGAACTGCCTCAAAAACTGTTGTACATTTTAGCAATCAGGACTCGTAGTAGAGATGATATTTTTTACAAGACCAACAAGATTTTTTCATGCACAAAAAAAAATTCTTTAATTTTTTTTTTCCAAAAATCTAGTTGGTATAATAAAAGATACCATCTCTACTACAAGTCCTGATTGCTTTTTTCTCTGGACCAATATGGCTACAGCCTGGATAACATCATTAATTTTAAACACTTTTCCTGTTGGTTGTACATCATGCAAGGGTTGAAATCGTACAAATAGGATAATTATTACATGCCTGGCAAACTGGTGCCATGGTGCCCTGGGGGAGAAGCACCATCCTGAGGCTTTTTGCTTAGAGGTCAGGTGTTATCTGACAGGATTTGTTTCTTGTTCAGGAGGCTGTCTCTCTATCCCACTGATGCTCTGCCCTCACTTTAGGACAGTGTTAATGGCCTTTACAGATATTGGTGATGCACAGGGGGTGCGCCAGCTTTGAAACCAGAACTGTGCTTCCGGTTTTGCCACTGGCTCGATGATCCCCGCCCCCCCCTCGGCGATCTGGTGCAGCCCCAGACTCAGGAGGCACCAGTCACTCATGCTCACAGATAATACGGACCTAACCTCCCATTTCTAGTTTTTCTTTCTAGTCAGTGTGGATGGACAGCAGCTGGATGTGGCAACCTTGCTGTTGAAATAAGTTGCTTTGATCAACAGTGCAAAGGAAATTAGTTTTCACAAGTCTTGTTTAAAATGAATGTGGTTAGATTGGGAAAAAATGCCTTGTTTACTGGTAGGGACCATTTTTGCCAAGAAAAGGCAGGAGCTGTGCTCTTGTAACTGTGTTCTTAACAAGGATTTCATTTGTGTCACTATTTTGGTTCAGAAAGAAAAGCAGACCCCCAATTGAAATGGTTATTCCTGTTGAGTTTTTAACCTGGACCAGGCTTATTATGTAATTCATATAAACCAGGTGTGGCTCTTTTCTTACTTGGCAGTTCACCAGGAATTGTAGGTGACAGTGGTTTTAGGATAGAGCCTGCACTCTTGTTTCATGGTTTCTACTTTCCTTCTATACTACATGTATCTAAAAAAAAAAAAAAAAAAAAAGGCCCTAATTTTATGCTGACAGTTCCATTTCATTTAAATGTAGGAGTGATTTTTTTTTTAAGTTTCCAAAATCATGTTGAATAGATGATGAGAATTTACACATTTTCTGTTATGACACATTCTTGTTCTTAAAGGGTGTTCTAACATGTCAAAATGAGAATATGTGTATATATACAAAGATAGCTGCAGTACTGAATGTAGATTAAGTGCTTTTGCACATGTGTTGTTTTGAAATGCAGAGTACTGGGAGCTTCAGAAGACTATAGTTTGTGTGTTTGCATGTGGATGCAAACATGTCTGTATGCAGTAGGGTTTTTTTTTTTTAATTTCAGAAAGATATACAGTTTGTAGCATCACCTTATAAGACCAACAATCTCTTACCAGGCAACCTTTCCCTAGGAACATTTTCCAAACCATATATTCAGATGATATTCCCTAAAACAACAACTGTCACTTAGGAGCAACATGGTTTCTAGAAGGGCTTGACCATTCTGTGAGTTTGTCTTCCCCTTTTTATTTTTAATGGGTTAACCAAGCCTTCACTATGGTAATGAAGGTGCCCTGTGGCAAGGATCCTTGATTCTAAAACTTAGAGATAATTAGAAAATCTTCCGGGTGGGGGGAGGAACATCATGGACTTCCTTTCCTCTTCCGTGTCCTTCTGACAAGGTATTTAGCAGAATTCATAGATACGTTGGAACCTTACAGGGCTGCGCCATGAACACTTCTCCTGTGGCCTCAAGCTTGCAACCTCTGGGCTGTCAACTGGTGGAATAGAGGAAAATGGGACAGAGGCCTATCTTAACCCTAACTTAAGGGACTCTTTCAGAATGGCTCTTTCTCGCTCTTGTTCTCTGTAGAGATAGAAGTTCCTATACTCTCCAGACTTAAATAGAAACACTGTGAGGAGTTGGTGAATAAAGGGAGTGGACATCTTTGAAGGCTGGTTTTGGCTCAGTTGAGCAATGAGACGGGTACCATTTTGGAGAATCCCACAAATTTTCCAGAGATGAGGCTGGCATGCAAGTAGGGGTACACCAATAAAGATTGTCTTGGCCGATGCCTATAGTTGATGATTAACCAACCACATATACCAATCCCATAACCAATATTTAGTAATAGTGCAAGGCATGCTATTGACACAAACCTCTTTGTTTTGCAACACACACACATGCACACACCCCGCTCCTGCCTGCTTCAGCCCTTGATGAAGAAGGTGGTGACTGCCTTTTTGCCACATATGTTGCCACCTCACTCATGGCTCTTAACCCCAGCCCTGCTCGCCACACAGTCTATGCTGCCATCCTGGGTAGGTGGGGTGAACCCTTGCGCAGACAGCAGTGCCAGGTGCATTTGGAGCCCAAGAACATGCTGGTGCCTCAGCATGGTGGGCCCTGCGCAGCCAAGCTCCAGCAGTTGCCAGGGAGAAGTTGCTTTTGCAAAGGCACTTGATGAAGCAGAATGTCCTTCACACAGCACCTTGCCCCTCCTGCATGCAGCCCTAGTGCTCAGGCCCCTGCTGTGCACATTGCTTTTCCATGGCAGTAGCAGGAGCTGGGAACCGTCCCTGTGTTGCCGAGCAAGGCACCCTGTGACCGCTCCCCGGTGCCTCCTGCTGCTCTCTGGAACCTATAGTCTGTCATGAATGAGCTCAGGCCAGTGGCAGAATGCAGGAACCGGACTATGCTTGCCAGGGTGCTCTGGGCATGCCACTGTAATTACCAGCTACAACAGTTTTTAAAAGTCAATAGCCAATAACATCACTTCTCCTTTTATCAGTTCCGATCTGATAGCCAGCTAATATATTGGCGCACCCGTACATGTAAGCTTTCAATTATGAAAACTGGACCAAAATTACTAGGAATGAAGTTTCAGTACATGGACTTCTCTATTATTAGGATGATTTGGGAAAAAGAGCAAGTGAGATAAATCTCTCAAAAGGAGTCATTTTTAATATTGATTTTTCTCAGCTGTAACTTAAAAAAAACAAAAGCGAAAAAAAACCCTATTTCATATTCAAATAGAGTTGTAATCTTGAATGTAGTAATTTTTGGTGTCTAATAAAAAACATGAATTTTAACTTTAAATAAAGAATCCAACAAATCCTGAACTACAGAGCTTTCAAACTACAAGTACATAATAAAACAAATGTGTATGTTCAGTTTGAACACACAGCCGAGAGAGTACAGATTACTTGGGCCTCTTTCTACCAAGTGCAGTTTTCCACTTAATCCAAAATTTTCTGAGATTTATTTTTTAAAATGATGCATCAAAGTGAAATAATGGTATAGCAGATGCGTAAGCATACCCTGAGATGAATAAAATCTGTGTTGTCGTAAGTTTCAGAAGTGGAGACTGGATGTTTGGAAGATAACTTTGAGTATTATCTTTGACAGAGAAAGCACAATCTCTGGAAAAATAGTTATTGTAAAGTTTCCTGGTTCAGTTTCTTCTTAGTATGATTTCCCACATAATCTATCATTTGATATTTTACTTTTCTATATTTAGCATCTTGCATATCAAGTTTTGCAATTTGTGTTCTTTTGGAGGTGTATTTAAAAAGTTTTAAAACTTTTTAAAAATGCATATTCTGGAAGTACAAAGCAGGTCATTAGTATTATTCAGATCTTTGTCCTTGAGTCGGAGCCCCATTCCCAGATTGACAGAGGAGGCCTTTGTTGCCTTTGAAGCTTGATAAACTATGAAGCAAGAGCCTTTATGTCAATTCTTTCTCCAGTATTTGCAGAGTGGGTATTGTGCCATTTACTTGGTGTAATAAATTAAATTGGCAGTTTGGAGATTCCTGGTTTGTGAAAGTACATGGTTAGTCTCCAAGATGGCCCAGGAGACTCCTTACAGTTTTATGTTCTGAAGTTGTACCTAATTCCAGGGCTATTTAAGTGCCTTAAACTTGGGCAGTCATCTGTGTCTAGTGATGCCAGGAGATTCTAGATATGGAGGACTGAATGGTGGCTGTTCCCAGACAGAAACTAATTATAGTGTGGGCACCAATTTCTTCACTGGCAGAGATTTTTGTTGTAAGCATGGTTTTGTTGGTACTCTTGAAAAGTCTGACCTCTCCATCAGTTCCAATATTTGTGGATGATGTTAAGTGCCACTGTCCTTGGCTCTTGAGCATAAGGGTAAGAAAAAGCAGGATTCAAGGATGATTTCTCCTTTGGAGTATTAGGGGGTGAAAAAGAAATAGTCTTGTGTGTTCAGTGAGTATGTAAGTAGATGAAAGGTTTCTGTTCGGGCTTTGTCTGTCCTTGGTCTTTCCAATAATATTAACCTTCAGCTTCACCAAATATAACAGCTATTTCATGTGGTCCTTGCGCTGGATGTTTGTTCTTATTTGTATACCTCAGGCTTTACCTATGTGCACCATGTTAAGTGCAGATAAATTGGGTCCTTAATTACTCCTGTTATGTTCCTTCATACAAATGATTGTTGGTACCGTCTGAATTAGAACATTATCAATGGCAATGCTTTAAAGAAGATTTAAAGAAAATGTGTGAAGTAGAGGAATAAAAATGAATGATCTTTTAAACAAGATATAACTGTTTAAATACTGGTAGGACAGCAGAAATTATATGTAACAATGTTGCTATCAAGTTAATTATGTTTTGTTATCCACTTGTTAAGTGCATTAAGTAATACTCTGGAAATATTTATTTGGAAGTAATAATTAGCTATCAGGTGGAAATAGATTTTTTTCTTAATACTTTATTCTTTTCTCCCCCAGTTCTGTTACATTATGAAAGATCTTACACTTTGAGGTACTAGTCAATAATGGAGGAAACAGGCAGGGAAGCAGTTGCAACAGCTGTACAGAGAGTAGCTGGAATGCTTCAGCGTCCTGACCAATTGGATAAAGTGGAGCAGTATCGCAGGAGGGAGGCTCGTAAGAAGGCTTCAGTAGAAGCTCGATTAAAGGTACAAAATTAATGAAACTCGGCAGTAACAAAGTGCTGAATTAAGCAGTGTAAGTGTGTGCGAGGTTTAATTTTAGAGCTTTTTGTAAGCCTTTGCTCAGTAAAATCAGCATTCCAAAAAAACCCAGTTGTATGTTCAAAAGCAGTGGTTCTCAACCTTTATGCTCAAGGTACCCCTCAGAAAATGCCAGTCCTTCACTTTCATTTGTTTATTGCCTGTGGAAAAATAATAGAGCAATTCTTGTGTTTCAAAGAAGTCAGAAAGACCACAAGATCAGAATTTTTTTGATGCTATGAATTCCTATTTGACATCTCTGGGTTTGTCTTGTAATTCACATGTAGATGTTTGCATGCACCTAGCAGTGTTAACACTGCAACACCCTTAAAAGGATCTTGCGGCACCCTATGGTTCTGTGGTTGAGAACTGCTGCTCTAAAGTGTGGTATATTGCCTTGAATATGGTAAGTAATTTTGTTCCTAGATAATCAAACTTTCCAAATATACCTACTCCTCAGCTGCACATTTTGTCCTGCTCCTTATGCAATTTAACCTGTTAACAAAAATGCCTGAATTGCAGTCATTAACAATTAATTTTTTAACTTGACAATTTATTTTCAAAAACATCCATATTGAAAACTTCACCTAGCTATTGATATTTACGTTGGTTTACAGAGGATATCTCTATCATCTAATGTGTTGTGTGTAATTTGGGAAGAATACTAGGTCCTGACTGAAACTGGACATATCTTCAGATATTTCTTTGCATATTTCTTCCCCAGTACAGTCTGGTTTCATTTTTATTATTTTAGTGTTTACTTACATACCAACAATTCAGTTTAAACTTACTTGAAACTACAGATTTGTGGTGTGGGTAGCCAAATGTCTCCATCTGACAACAGACGTTTAGGTTGAGTACCAAATACTAGGGGTGCACCGGTAAAGATTTTTTTGGGCCAATACCTCTAGTGCACCTCTAGTTTTAAAGATTGTGTGTAAAGTCACCTGGTGCCTCAAACTGTTTTTTCCTGCTGATCCAGATCATCCAGCAGGGCTTGACACACATGATACTATTGCTTGAGTGGCTGGACATATTTTGTTCTAATGGGTTGCACTCTCTACCTCTTTCTGTCTCTGCCCAGTTGGGTAAGTGCGTTGAAACTGTTGGAGTTAGGCATGTTCTGACCTCCTTTCTTACTCTGATATAAATTCTTGAAAATGAACTACACACATCACATCTTGGATACAGATCGAATATTCATATAATGCATCTATCATATCCCATCATCACAGAAAGTACACTTTTCTTCCCAAAATCTGGGTAGGTTTCTCACTCCTCCCACTTTTTTCTGAGGTCAAGGAAAAAAGCCACTTGTGAGAGTTCCTTCTGCTCTGTACTCCTACACTGCTTCTGCAGTGAGAAACAGAGTGCTAGGAAAAGGCTTTCAAGCAAAAATTCTGGTAGGTGATATTTATTGGGCCAGTTATATAGCTGGGAGGGATGTAAACAGGCTTTTGGGTATGAAGTACAAATTGCTTATTTGTATGTTAGTTTTTATCAACCTAGTATATTACATTTCCCCAGTGTCCTGAACTTCCTTTAATGTCCCAGGCTGAGGGACATTGTTTCATATATTTAATTGATTCATCATGTGCTGACTTCTAACAGTTTCTGACTGTATGGCTTCAAATAAATCCATCAAAGACACAGAAAAGGTTTGTTTTTTGCCAATAAGTCCAGTTCTTGAAACTGCAATGGAAAAATTTAATTGTCTCTATCCTTCATGATGGCTTAGGTTTAGCTCTTATACTGGAAACATTTAGATCTTCTGTTTCACAGTCCTTATGTTGTTGAATGATGAGAAGCATTGGGTTCATGTTTCTGTCCTGTTCCATGGAGAGTTCTGGCTCTCTAGCTTCTTTCTATTTTGTTTTCCCAGCACATTGGCACCACAATAATGCCTTTCTTGACATGTCTAGACCATCAAAGGACCTTCCTAGGGAGCATCACAGTGAAGCACACCACGTTAGTACATCAGACCCTATACCAAAGGACCAACCTATAGTGTGGTAGAAGTTCACAGCACAGTGGTGCCTTAAATCTCACTGAGTGGATGAGGGGCAAAAACTGCAGCATTAATTGCCTTGTAGCCATTCAGCTGTTGGAGGGGGAGGAGGTGCGCAACAAGAGAGCACGATTAAAGGTACTGATGCACTGCAAACTTCCACTTCAATTTAGGTAAGTCCCTACCTAAATGAAATGGATGTGGTGTACCTCCTTTGGTAGGGTGCTAGGCATGCTCTGGTAAAAGTATAGAGTGCACTTGCTGTACTTAGTTTGGGTGCTTCTGGGCCCAGCCTTTGACACTTGTGTCATTCTCTAGCCCTCTTCCTTCCAGCACTACTTCTCTTTTTTTTTCAGT